ATTCGTGGAGTTTCGGTTCATTTTTGTGATGCGCTCCTGTTGAAGACCGAGCCGGCAGAAAGCGCATCATGTTTGATTTCCTTATTTTATAAAAGCACAACGTTTTGTTGATATTGTGAGTACACTCAAATAAAAGTAGACCCTTTACAGTTACGAATGGTGTATTACTCTTACCTTTATGAGCAAAAATGACGGTGTATCCACTGAAAAAAAAAGTGATCGCGCTGGCGTCTCTATGTCCTGCAAAGCGCGCTTCGGCTTCCACTCTCCACACAAACTATTGGATACAGCGCACATTTATCTAGGTTTAACGTTTAAACATTGTTATATGCTTGAACTGTTTTATATCTACAGATTTTTTTTTATTCAAGTCGTGATGATTTGAGAAGGCTAAATTGATCAAACATATGCTCACTGTCTGCCGCTGGCCACTTGGTCGTTACTTTAAATGCGTAACGTTAATTAGGCTATGTGAGTACTGCTCATGTCTGAAAATAATATATGAAAAACAAAATTATTTTACATAAAAACATTAGGCTATAGCTTAAATTTATTTAGTAATTTTTTTAATGTAAAAACTAAAATGAATTGTAAAACTGAAAGTATTTTTTTTTAATTGTGTTCAGCACAGTGGGCCGCATTTGAATTCGTGACGGACCGCGGGCCGTGGGTTGAGAACCACTGGGTTAGATTAAATGGCCTCAATCGATAAACTGGACTGGGTTATACTGCGCTGAACTGGAGTTGATTTTACTGGACTACATTTACTAGGCTAGACTATTGAACTGAATTAGAATGGACTAGAATGGAGTGAGGCAAACTGAAATGGACCTGTATGGACTGAAGTGGGTTCGGCTAGATTAGATGGACTCAACCTATAAACTGGACTGGTTTAGACTACTTTGGACTGAATTGGATTGGACTGAACTGGTCTAGAATGGGCCTCAACTTATCATAAAATAGTTTTCTGTCATTATAACTCTTGTTTTGGACAAATACTCAAGTGTTTCAGCCTGAAGTGTTATTTATATGATAGACACCAGAATCTGGCTCCTGGATTGCAGGTTGTTGTATCAGAAATCTTTTCTCTAGCCCTGGGCAAATCGATGTGTCAGCAGTCCAGTCAGCCTTTGACTACCACTGTGAGAATTGGCTTCTCCAAGGAACAAATGCCCTCATTCCTTGCTCACATGAATTTGGATGTAGGGCAGTTTCTATAGTGCCAAACAGCACAAGCGCCACTATCTGGGGACAAGATTCAAAGACATTCTGGCACCAGCCTTGCAATAAAAAAGGAAATGTATTGTTGTGGCGACATAAATATTGAAAGCCCAATTCCCCATAGTGGTAAACACAGTGCTTTCTGTCAATACTGATATGAAAAGTGAAACATTAGAAGAAAATAATCACGCATGCAGCTCCCATCTTTTCAAACAGTGAGCTGGATCAAGCCGGCTGAAGATGCTCCCCGGATGAGCGCGATGGCCTGGCGTGTTTTGTTGTGAGTTTAAACTCCTTCATTCTTTCACCCAAAGGGACTGCTGCAGTCTGGCCTATAAACCCCCCCTCTCACAGGGAGAGAGAGAGAATCATTCTGGGAGATTTCCTCTCCGGCGTAATTACGCACACAGATTTTATGTGACAGTGAAAGAGAACTAGACAAGGATAAGTGAGATAGCGGTGCAGGGTTCAACCTGGAAACTAATCAGTGAATTTAAATTACGTTATGAGACAAACAAGCAAAAACCGAAGACTGAAAGGCGAAATCACTACCATCAAGATGACACAACACATAAAGGGACAGTGTTTAACTCACCCTCATGTCGTGCCATACCTGTATGACTTTCTTTCTTCTGTGGGACACACAAAGCATATGGTCTACATTTATGGTAATTTAATGGTGTTTCTTCTTTTGTGTTCTGGAGAAGAACGAAAGTCATGCCGGTTTGGAACGACATGAGATGACACAAAACGACAGAATCTTTCTTTTTCGGGTGAACTATCCCTTTAAATTCTGACATACTGTAGAGTTGAATAGAAAATTCAAATGGAGGAACCCAAACCCATGGCTTGGGTATATTTATTGGTGCAATTCTGTCATATTATTTGGGAAAACGTCATTAAGAATTTCAGGCCATTTTCCATTTTAAATAAGTTTGCGCCTAATCCAAGCTTTCCTGTTAGTACTGGCAGTACCGCCGCTCCCTATACGCGGAGTATGCAGTTTGCGTAGGGCACCAATTCCCAGGGGGGCACCATCCCAGTTGCTCAAAAAACAAACAAACAAAAAACTATTTTCGTTCTATATTAATATTAAAATGAACATATACATAAATAAATATCTAAACATGAACATATATATATAATTATAAAAATGCATTTTACGGTGAACGCAGTAAGCAGTAGGCTAAGCACACCTGACACGCCATTCCCGCTTCCGCACCCGCGACCGATCGCACCTCATGTTTGCGGCTGAATGCAAATTATCATAATTTATGGACAACTAGGCCCATACCTGTGAAAAGACACCAGCAATCCGGCGCTGAGAAAAGAAAAAGAAAAAAAGATGAAGCCGGTGCATCAGGTAGCCTACATTCATAATCCTGT